GGGCCTGGTGCACTGGGAAGACCCAGAGGGATCGGGTGGAGAGGGAGGTGGGAGGGGGGACCGGGATGGGGAATACATGTAAATCCATGGCTAATTCATTTCAATGTATGACAAAAACTACTGTAATGATGTAAAGTAATTAGCCTCCAACTAATAAAAATAAATGGAAAAAAAAAAAAAAGAATCCATCTGCCATTGCAGGGGACACAGGTTCAATCCCTGGTCCGGGAAGATTTCACGTGCCATGGGGCAGCTAAGTCTGTGTGCCACAACTACTGAGCCTGTGCTCTGGAGCCCGAAAGCCACAACTACTGAAGCCCAGTCACCATAGAATTAGGGCTCTGCAACAAGAGAAGCCACCGCAATGAGAAGCCTGTGCAACTAGAGAGGAGTCCCCACTTGCTGCAGCTAGAAAAAGCCTGCAGGCAGCAACAAAGACCCAGTGCAGCCAAAAATAAATACATTAATTAATTTTTTTTTCAGGTTTTAAAACTTTTTATTTGCATATTAAAAAAATTGTGCATTCCAATAATTAAAACCATTTGAACAACAACAAAAAAAATGGCACTCTGATTAAACTGCATTTTACAGCCCGCAGAACACCTTGGACCAGCTTTTTAACTCTAGATTTCACTGTCGTCCCACCCAGCTTCCTCCTTCACCAACATGCAAGTTCTTTTCCTTCCCTGCCAGCCACATAGGCAGATGGGAGAGGCAGGCGCGGCCTATGTTGTCAGTAGTTCTCCATTCTTTGATGTGAAAAGGGGTAGCACAGTCATTTAAACTCGATCCAACCTCTTTGCATCTTACAAAGTTAAACAGCTAAAAGAAGTAAAATAAGAAGGCAATGCCTGTGGAATGTACAGTGCATACTGGCGGCGCACGCTTCATTACGACTCGCCTGCTTGCTTCTCCTGTTCAATCGTTTCTTTCGAAGGCAGTGGGTTTTTCTCTTACGTTTCCGTTTTCTTCAATTTTGACTTATCGAACTTCTCAATCTCAGCCATATTGGGCTTGTCAGACATTGTTGCGGAGGGCGCGGAGCGAGCTGCGAGCAAGCGAAGTCTGGTCTGCGCTGTGGCCGCCGCAGAGTCCCATCTCTGCTTTTCTTGGTCTCTGCTCTCCAAAGATGCTTACTACTTGTAAAGGGCTTAAAGGGGCCCAATTCACATGACTTTACTGACTTAATCCATCATCCACTGTTGGCTGATTGCAGATTTTCAAGGGAAGGCATTTGGCTAAACTTTGAATTTGATATGATGGTTGACATTAGGCCAAGTGTACATCCCTGGTCCACAGCACTGTGGGGCTGGGGGCACACATTATAAAAATAAACACTTGGTGCTATTTGTTCAAGGATGTTTTGAGTGAGTCACACATAGGTCCCCAAGCTTCCATTGTAAAAAAGTTGAGTGTTATATATATATTTGAGAATCTTCATTGAGTAATATAAAAAAAGAATAACACCCCAGGGCTGTTCCTTTGCCTTCTTCTAATTTTAATAGCTAGTTCACTATGATATGGAAAAAGAATCATTAATCTTAAAATTGTCATGTTACTGATATCATCAATAGAAAATGAGGAAAAATTATGAACTAGTTCTTACAGTCATATATATCATATATTACATGGTTAAAAAATCAACCTTATTAGAAGTTCAGTGCAATTTTGGCCTACAAATTTAAAAGAGTGTATGGAAGAATTTGAGGGGGTCTAGACTGAAGGCAGCAGAAGGGGATGACAGAGAATGAGATGATTGGATGACATCACTGGCTCAGTGGGCATGAGTTTGAGCAAACTCGGGGAGGTGGTGAATAACAAGGAAGCCTGGAGTGCTGCAGTCCATGGGGTCACAAAGAGTCAGACACAACTTAGCAACTGAATAACAACAATGCAAAACTGAGGAAATTATAAAAGAGAAATAAAATAGCATGTGAGTTTCAAATTAATGCTTATTTAGCCTAGAGAAGATACTAATGATGTGAGAATTTCTCCAAACATGTGAAGGTGAAATAGAGATATAGTGAGATCACCTCTATTGCCCTGATATAATATGCAATAGAATATAGATTTTCATGACAGCATAAACTCAACCTTTTAGGCTCACAGAAATTCATGGTCTCTATTTATATAAGATGTATAAAGGTATTTGGGCTTCCCTTGTGGCTCAGCTGGTAAAGATCAGCCAGGTCTCCATGCGGGAGACCTGGGTTCGATCCTTGGGTTGGGACGATCCCCTGGAGAAGGGAAAGGTTCCCCACTCCAGTATTCTGGCCTGGAGAATTCCATGGACTGTATAGTCCATGGTGTTGGACATGACTGAGCGACTTTCACTTTCTTTTTCACTTTTCATAAATGTATTTATAGGAGCAGATATGTGGTATCATACTCACAGGAGTATAAATTAGAGGACTTTGTTGAGATTGCCTCAAGCTCTATGAGCCTAAGGTTAGTTTTGTGAAACTCAGTTGAAATGAAAGACAGAAGTAAAAAAACTTTTGTCATCATATTTTTCTTAGTGAATGATTCCAGATGTGGCCAAATGAATTGTGCTCTCTAAGGGGCATTCAAAGGAGCAGCAATAGTCACCAATAACTGAGTTTTCTTTTGTAGAGTGGGAATTATGAACTAAGGGTGAAAGCTAAATTTTCCTTCATAATGAAGTGAGTTAGATTCTAGTGACAAGGTGAGAAAAGAGAGAAGGACAGATGAAGTGACCAGAAAGGTGGAAATAATGATGGAAATTTCAGTTAGAGGAATTAACAGACTTTCCTGTAAGTAATGTGTAGTGTGAGTCATCTTTATCAACCCCCTCCCTCAAGATTTCGCCAGAAAATTGTCACCAAGTATCTGTCTCTGTTATTGAGTCAGGGAATTGGATCTCTGTTAGGATGCATAGAAAATGCTAAGTATAGCCTCAAGTTTGATTGGACAAGAGCTGAGGTCACCTGTGAAAGATGTACTCTACTCAGATTATCTGTATTTATCACTATCCTCAAATTATCTGTATTTACCAACCCAAGAGTGAACTAAGTAGACATTTCAGTGTAGTATCAAGGCCAGGTAAGAATTTTGATTGGGTGGAAGATAACTCAAGGCTGGAATTTCAGAGAATTTTACTGTATGACCTTGGATGAACAAATAAATTCTTTGTGCCTTAATTTCTCCTTCAAATGAAGACAATGTATATACCTCATCTACTTCAAGATACAATAATGTATGATTACTTACAAGAAAATATAGTCAATTCAGATCGCAAGTCCTACAGCCCAATAGTGAGAACCATTTAGAACTGAGCAAGCCTTGGGCACTGAGGCATGGCCTACCACTTCTACTTGAAATGTCGTTTGGGGTCCTGAGGGTCTCCAAAACTCCTTCAGGGGGGCTGCAAGGTCAAAATTACTTTTATAGTAATACTAAGATTTTATTTGCTTTTTTCAATCTCATTCTCTCACGAATGCCTGGTGGAGTTTTCTGGAGGCTACATAGTGTGTGATATCTCACAGATTGAATGCAAAAGCAGATATGAGAATCCAGCTGGCTTCTTTAAGCCAGATCTTAAAGAGATTTTCAAAACTATAAAACAGTCCTATTCTTTTTATTAATTTTTTCTTTTGGAAATACAGTTCTTTTTCACTTAAAATATTATTTGTGTAACCTTAAAACTCAGTTGGTAAAGAATCTGCCTACAATGCAGGAGACCCCGGTTCAGTTCCTGGGTGGGGAAGATCCCCTGGAGAAGGGATAGGGCACCTACTTCAGTGTTCTTGGGCTTCCCTTGTGGCTCAGCTGGTAAAGAATCTGCCTGCATAGCAGGCATTTTGGAAGACCTGGGTTGGGAAGATCCCCTGGAGAAGGGAAAGTCTACCCACTCCAGTATTCTGGCCTCAAAAATTCCATGGGCTGTATAGTCATGGGGGCCCAAAGAGTCGGACATGACTGAGCGACTTTGACTTTCACTTTTGCCATGTAATGGGCTTATTGTTCTTATTTTAAAAAATGAATATTTAAACACGTTCCAGTTTTGATTTCTAATATAGTAAATACCAATACACGTTTTCGTACAAACAAAAGACTTCCGAGGAACTTCCTTGGCAGTCCACCGGTTAAGACCCTGTGCTTCCACTGCAGGGGCTCCAGTTTGATTCCTGGTTAGAGAACTAAGATCCCACGTGCTGCTCGGAGTGGTCAAAAAAAAAATGATTTTTTAGGTCATTCAGTAATTTTAAAAGTGTATTAGGAGTCCTGAAGCAAAATGATTGGAGAACCACTTCACCTTGGCAAAGTGACTTTGAGTAAGGTGATCCATGCGTGTTCCAACTTTCCCTCGTTCTGCCATGGTATAATGGTAGGTGGTGGGACCCTCAGGAGATGAATCCCTCACAGAGTACAGATATTTGGGAACCCTCTCAATCTGGCACAAGTTGAAACTGAACTGTGTGTGTGGTTCTCAGGCAATACCATCATATCCAAGCCTCATAACATATTCCATTCCTGTGCTGTATGGATTCGCCAGCGTTACTCATCTCTGGGTCAAAGACTGATGACATTTTATGCTGAGGGGAGGGCCCTGGAGAAGACCTGGACTTAGTGACAAAGCCTGTCCTTGTATCATTAGCATCAGTATGTCTTTCAGCATATGCATAATTGGTGTTCCACTCTCAGCCTCAGAATAGCTGTTATTGATGCTCATGACAGGTGAGACGTCAGGCTAGCTAATTTATATGTATTAAATCTCGTAACACACTTGGGAGCTAAGTATACTTATTACGGCAGTTTTATGTCAGAGGAAACTGAGACACGCTATTTAGCTAAATTTGGTTAAGGTCTCACAGGTCAAAAGTAGCAAAAGTCAGATTCAAACACACATCATTTGGCTCCAGGTTCTGTGCTGTTAAAGGTCTTTTTGACTACAGTTTCCTCTTCCAATGTACTGGGCAGGGTCGACTGACTGCTGTAACAGCCAACCTAAAATTTACAGAAGATTCATATAAAAGTAGTTTCTTTGTGTTCCAGTACAAAGTGGGTTGGTGAGGTTTTCACATGGTCACTCAGAGACCCAGGATCTTTCCATCTTGTGACTCCATCTTTCTGCAAGCCCTTGGAATTCTTTACCTTTAGTCAGTCAATGAGGATAATGGAAAACTGCACAAGCCAAGTCAGCACTTTCACCTCTATTTCACGGCTTTTAATCTCTCATGTGGCCGCACCCAATGGCCAGGCATGCTGGGAAATATGGTCGAGCTGCCCAGAAGGAAAAAGGGACGAGCTGAACAGTCACATGAGCACTGTAAAGAGTTTAATATTAAGTGATAATGAGGAGATGGTAGGAATATCGCTGGAGTCTGAGCTCTCAGATCAGCTGATACTTTAGGAGGTCTACCAATAATTGGATAGGAATTCGCAGGTGGCACAGTGGTAAAGAATCTGCCTCCCATTACAAGAGATGCAAGAGACATGCATTCGATTGCTGGGTCAGGAAGATCGCCTGCAGTAGGGAATGGCAACCCACTCCAGTATTCTTGCCTGGAAAATCCCATGGAAACAGGAGCCTAGCGGGCTCCAGTCCATGGGTTCACAAAGAATTGGACATTACTGAATGACTGAGGACACCAACAATTCGATGCCCATGACATGAAAGTTTCTTTACTTTAATGCCTCCAGGGCCCAGGTCCTCAGATGTAAGTATATATGGGCCTGAGATTAACTATCAAAAACTTTAATATGATAGCTAAAACTAAGCAGCCCTTGTAACATCCTAGTGAAAATTATAATAGAAAAGACTTTATTTTCCTCTGACACTTCAGTGTTAACTTTCTTCAGTGAAAATTTATGAGAATATTTTCAGAGCAAATATGCAGACCTATTATTAATATAATATGAATGATGCCCTCTGAAATTTTGCAGTACATGTCCTTTACAACTACAAAGATGGCCTGCCTTTATGCTCACTAAGGATTCCCACCCCTTTAGTGATTATAGTTCAGCCTAGGTTTCCAGTCGTCTTGCAGGAATGCACCCAGAGAGCATAATTAAATCATTGCTTGCTTTTCTTTAAATGTTCCTCTTCCTGATTCCTTCAATTTGTCCCATGCAAAATAGCATTTCTCATCATT